AGCCTTCAATACACAGCATTTGGGGAACATTCAGGATATAAACTATAGCAGCTCAGTGGTAGAGTGCGTGCTTAGCATGAGGACCTGGGCTCAACCCTCAACTCTAAAAATGAAACAAACAAACAAAAGATGGGACCTTTAGGAGGTAATTAGGACTCCTATAAAGGGGCTTGAGGAAGTGAGTTTGTTCCCTTCTGTCCCTTCTGCCTTATTAGAACAAGGTGACATCAGTGAGGAAGGGAGATCTTGTCAGACACTGAAACTGCTGGCTCCCTGATCTTGAATTTTCCAGTCCCAAACTGTGAGATATAAATTTCTATTATTTATAAATTGTCCAGTCTGTGGTATTTGTTACAGCAGCATGAACTAAGACATCCTCCTTCTCCTGTACCGTCTCCTTGTTCCTTGCTATGGATACAAGGTCATGGAATGTCCTCGCTTCCTCCCTCCAAATATACATTATACAGAACAGCTGGCCTCCCTCCAGGGGCCCTTCCACCTTCCCAGCCCCAGACTGCCTCCCCGTGGTGCCTTTTAGCACTGCACGAATGCTAGAAGCTTGCCTTCCTTCAGTCTGCAGTCTGGACTCCAATGTGCAGAAACAGTAAACGTGGGGATTTCCTGGCCTCACCCCAGCATGGCTGGAATCCTGTATAGTACTGAGGAATCACAGAACCTCTGCCACTAACACCATTGGGTCTTTTGGCTCAGCAACCACGTGTCCCAATGACTCCGTGTTGATCTTGAGACTGTCAGCGTCATCTTTAGATGGGACTGAGGGGGAATAGGGTCACATCCTTTGCTTTCACAAGGGACGCTTAACCACCAGCCCATAGAAGGGACAGTACTTGGAAACTACCTCCGTAAACTTGGGGCAGGGATTGGGGCGGGGATGGGGCGAGGATTAGAGGGGAAGGAAGAAAATGGGAGGGAGAGGAAGAGGGAGGGAACTTGGGCAGAACAGGGGAGACATCTGGAACAAACACAGGCACCCCAGTGTTCCCAAGGTCAAAATGCAGAGAAAGTCCACTCCTAGCCAGCATGGTGGTCTGAGTTGCTGGGTCCCCTGGTTTTCTCTTAGCATTTTCTGCCTCTGCCTCACATTCTTGTTGGGCCAGGTAGGCTTGCTGCAGGGACACCCCCAATGCCTGGATTATGGGCCCCCCTTCCGGCCACCCCTGCACCTGGAGTTTTGCTCTGACTATGACTCTTTCGGCTGTTGTGACCAGCACAAGGACCACCGCATCGCTGCCCGGTATTGGGACATCATGAACTACTTTGACCTGAAGGGCCATGAGCTGTGTGGAGGTTACATTAAAGACATCCTGTGCCAGGTAGGCCTGAATGCAACCCCAGGGGGAGACAGGGAACCAGCCTGGAGAAGTGCCTTACAGCCCCAGTCTTTTAGAACCTCACCTGCCAGGTGCCTTACCTGCGCTCTGGACAGGCACACCGAGGAGAGGGTGTGCTGGCTTCCACCAGCTTTCCCAAAGCTCTCCCTTTGGGGGTCTTCTCCAGGTGCCAGAAGAATGACAGAGGTATTCATGGAGCTCTCAAAGCAGTGGCAGACTTTGTCCTCCCTGCAGCAAAGCAGAAAACTGGGCACAGCACACCTGTGGCACTCACTGACCATGCAAGGGAGGAGAGGCACCATCTCTTGGGGTCCAGCCCTTGCACAGCAGGATATTTTGTCTGGGGGTCTCTGGTGCAGTGTCAGCAGGGGCTCAGGGGCTCTGCCTTGGGTCCTGTCTGCCCCGTATTCCAGAACTGGACGGAAAGAGCTCCAAGTTGCTGAGTGGCAATGACTCAGAGTTTCTGCTTCTCCAGGCTCACCAACCCCTGCTACTACAGTGGCCAAAATCCACATCCCTGGGCGGCATCGCCTTAGTTGAGCTGAGCCTGAAAACATGAGGAGTGCAGACTGCATACACCAACTTGTGGGAAAAGGGTGTTTAGGAGTTCAGAGAGAGAGAGAGGAGATAGAGAGCTGATGAAAGAAGATGCTGTGGGGATGGAGCCTCCAATTTTGTGACAAAGGTGACAAAGTCCGGGCAGATGTCTGATCTGATCTGAGACCCTCCCTGGGCAGGTCAGTGCAACTAGGTGGCTGTCCAAGGGCATCTGTTCATCTCCCCTGCTGCCACTATTCTTGAGTGTGCTTGCCACCCCAACTCCTCCCTTGCATGCTGTGGAGAGTCAAGTGGCACAGAAAACAGCCACCTGGGTGGTGCAGCCCCAGGCACCATCTCTTGGCTGCTTCCTGGAGAATTAACTGTGGGATTACCATGTGGGCAGAAGCTGGGCTTTTATGATTAGGACTGAGACTGTTCATTTCTGAGATCTCCTCTAGTGAAAATCTTTCTCCCCTCTTAGGTGAGGTTTTAGAAAACCGTGTTCGGCTTTGTCCCTACCTTGTTTTAGGGACTTGAGCAAAAAGAATAATTTCAGGGGCTGGTTGTAGTGGTGCACTTGCAATCCCAGTTATCCAGCAGTGGAGATGGGAAGATCATGGTTTAAGACCAGTCCAGGCACAAACATTGGCAAGACCCAATCTCAAAAAACAAGCTGGCATGCCTAGCAAGCTCAAAGCCCTGAATTCAAACACCAGTACCACACACACAAAACAAGAATAATTTCAGCCAAACAATCCTATTTGTTAAAATCTTCAAGCACTCCCCCACACCTCCCTGCACATGTGGTCTGTTCCCAGCAATGGTTCTGCAGGCCATTATTGCAATCCTTGTTATCTTCCTGGAACCACTGGTCCAAGGTCAAACAGTCCTGGGGCACAAATCTAGATGCTCAGGTTCTTGGTCTTAAAACCTTTGGATCATATCACACCAGAGGTGGTAAAGCAGCACCTGCCTATTTGCTTGACAGTTTCCTGAGCCCTGGGAAGCCTAAGCTCCATGAGAACAGACTTTGTGCACTTCACTCACCACTGCTCTCAGCACAGAGAGCAGGGCCTTGCACACTGGAGTCACATAATTGATACTCTTCCTGGGCCTGAGTTTTCCTACCTGGAGAAACATTTGTTTAGTTACTGAGCTAACTAGATAGAAGCAACTTCATAAACTAAAAGAATCCATAAGAGTGTGTTATGAGGGTAGATATATTTCCACAGCCCCCTGTTATTCCCCAGTATTTTATTATTCCATCCTTATTTCTGTCTCCCCTGTTTCTTTCTACTCTCCAAGAATGGATGGTGTTGGTGAGGTGACACTTAAGAGCAGGCCATTTTGCCCCTTGTTAGCAGTCTGCCCAAGCTGAAGCCGACAGTCCAAGGAGGGATGCTGGGAATCTTTGGGCTCCTTTGTTCCCTCTGCCTGACAACCAAGAGCTTGCTCTGCAGTGTACAGTCAGGGGAAAAAGAGAACAGGGAACTCTAATGCACATGAAAAATGCTGCTGGTCCCTTTGTGATGTGGTGATAGGCTGCTGGCTTGGGAGAGGTGTTAATGATCAGGGAGCTTTAGGCTGGTGGACTTGCCTGTACTCCAGGGCCCCAAACTCTACCCGTTAAGCCTGCTTTTCCTACTTTCCAACTTGCAGTTCTCTCTGTCTTTCCTAAATACTGGGAGCAAAATTCTATTCTCTCCTAAAAATTGCTATCTAGGGAGGTTCAAGTAGCAGATATTCTTTTGGACACACAGTCCTCATATATCAGTGTTCAGAGTCATTGTATTTCCCCAAAGCCACAGTTCAAGTATGGATAGCTTCCAGTATACATTAAATACAAATATTTAAATGAATATGTGAAGAAATTATTAGAAGTTAATCTCTGGAAGTGATACATCAATATCCATTTTGATCATTTTAACTGGAAAATATTTTAAACATGGAAAAGCACAGAAAATCAAATAACTAATATATATGCAACACCCAGATTTAATAAACTTGAAATTTTGCCACATTACTTCATTTATGACAAAGGGAAAAATGGAGAAATTTGATATCTTCTTTTAAAAATATTCATTATTTCATATAATCTTAAGTGTCAAGAACTAAGCTGAAATGCTGGAAATAGAAGAGTAAATGTAAGAGGTTTTTTTTTTTCTCTCCCTCTTTTCTGTCTTCCAGGAGCATTAACTGGGGAGAAAATTTAGGTCATAGACAAGTGATTTACCAGTAATTGGTAACAAAAATTCGACTCCTGATTTTTTTCCCTGAGACCATTTCTCCTGGTTTTGTTTGCTCAAACAGAAGTCAAGTTTCCCTTTCTTTCCTAGGAGTGCTCACCCTATGCAGCCCACCTGTATGGAGCAGAGAACCCCCAGACGCCCCTTCGCAACCTTCCAGGTCTCTGCTCTGACTACTGCTCTGCCTTCCAGACTAACTGCCACTCTGCTATCTCCCTGCTAACCAATGACCGTGGCCTCGGGGGGTCCCATGAAAAAGATGGCCCCCGCTTCTGCCATCTTCTCAACCTTCCTGACCAGGACTACTGCTTCCCCAATGTCCTGAGGAATGATCATCTCAACCGCAACTTGGGTATGGTAGCTGAGGACCATCAGGGCTGCCTGCAGCTCTGCCTGACCGAGGTGGCCAATGGGTTGAGAAATCCTGTCTCCATGGTCCATGCTGGGGATGGAACCCATCGCTTCTTTGTTGCAGAGCAGGTAGGAGTGGTTTGGATCTACCTGCCTGATGGGAGTCGCCTGGACCAACCCTTCTTGGACCTCAAGAGCATTGTGCTGACCACACCATGGATTGGGGATGAGAGAGGATTCTTGGGGTTGGTTTTTCACCCCAAATTCCGCCGCAACCGCAAGTTCTATATTTATTATTCGTGCCTGGGCAAGAAGAAGGTAGAAAAGATCCGGATTAGTGAGATGAAGGTGTCTCGGGCTGATCCCAACAAAGCTGACCCAAAATCAGAGAGGTGAGCCATCCTCGTGAGAATCTAAACCTCTGCGCTGTGTTTCCAAAGAATGCTAATCAGCCTTTTGAGATGATAGAGAGGGGACTTCCGCGGTTTTAGAGCACTGTCTTAAAATGATGACAAAGGAGTCATTGTTGGTTAAGTGAGGACAAGACAAGTTAGGCTTTGGAGTCAAGGGTCTTTGTGGGGTGAGGCCACTCTCTGACAGTACCCTAAGTGGAGCCTTGCTTGCTTGTCTTCACAGGGGTGAACCAAGGACTGGATGACATAAGGGTCTGAGAAATGATTATAGATATTATCAATACATCAAATATAGTAACAGCCTCTAATTATTGGTGGCCATTAGATTCCAAACCCTTTTCCCTGCATGTGGGATTTGTCACCATCAAGGAAGCCATGGCACAAGGCCATAGAGCTATTGATGAAGGTCCCATGAGGACTCTGCAGACTTAAGCTCGTGCTCTGTCTATTGCAACACTCTGCCTTTCCCCCTTCTTTCTGCTTCATCTCTTTTCCCATCATAGACAAGCTGAAGGGTTGGAAAGAACATGAAGACTTGCTAGACCCTGCCAACTTACTAAAAGGAAGGGATGGAGTGTCCCAATAGAGCAGATGGGAAGGACAAAGCCCTAGAAAGAGATGATTGCTACCCTGGCTGTGTCTCAGCTTATAAACTCATGGTATGAAAGGAAATGACCCATTAAGGAGTTATATCAGGAAACAAGTAGCCCCAAGCTACATGCTTTGTGATCTTTGGAGACTCTGAAGCAGGTCTCAGTGGATTTGGCAGATCGTCATGGCTTGGCCCAGTCATTTCTGGGTGTTTCAAGACAAAGCAGAGCCAAGCATAGTGACTCATACTTGTATTCCTAGCTATTTGGAAGGTGGAGATCGGGAAGATTGTGGTTTGAGACCAGCCTGGGCAAAAAGTTATCGAGACCCTATTTTAACAAACAAGCTGGTTGTGTTCGCACATGCTGGTAATCCCAACTACTAGGAGGCATGGGAAGAAGGATCAAAGTCTAAGGCCAGTTCTGGGCAGACGTGTGAGAACCTATCTAAAAAATAACTAAAGCAAAAAAGGTCTGGAGGTGTGGCTCAAAGAGTAAAGTACTTGCTAGGGTCCTGAGTCCAAGCCCCAGTACCACCACCAAAAAAAAAAAAAGTAGCCTCAGTTTGTGTCAAAGCATAATAAACAGTTTTTTTTATTTTTCTCTTCCAGAGTCATCTTGGAGATAAATGAACCAGCCTCAAATCACAATGGCGGACAACTTCTTTTTGGCCTGGATGGCTATCTGTATATATTCACTGGGGATGGAGGGCAAGCTGGAGACCCCTTTGGAAAGTTTGGAAATGCTCAGAACAAGTAAGCTGGATGGAGGCTGAGCCCCCATTGCTTTAGAATGAGCCTCTTGCAAAGCGTTTTTCCTGAGATGGGAGCAAACCCAAATCACTTAGTGTAAAGCATAGTCCCCTCTTTTGAGACAAAGGAGAACATTTGGTTTTCTGTCCTATAAATAATGGGCACGGTTACTTTGGTTGTTAGTATTATGGCTGCTCGATGTAACTTTCAGAGAAGATTTCAACAATTTAAATGTATGTTAGCAGGACTCTATCTAGTATACTAACCGTTCAAGTTCAGTTCAATCCACTCAACCCTGGGATCGAGCACCGTGTCACAGCTCTGTGCTAGGCCCTAAGACACATGAGAATGGAGTTGGTTAATGAGAGATAATGCATGTTGGGTGCTTACTGTGTGTCAAGGTCAATGTAGAACAACCTTTAAGGGCAAGAGAAATTTAGATCTACTTTAATTAGTGTACCACTAGCACGCCTGGCACACTATAAATATGTACGGAATGAAAGACTCCTATGAAGTGTAGGTATTATGATATTCATTTTATAGATGAAAAAAGGAGGCATAGCAAGGAAGTGGAAGAATCGGAATCCAATTCAGATACTCCAAGCCCGTGAATGCTGTGCTGCCTGTTGTACCCCGTAAACACTTAGCTCCCATTTTTCCTAGTCATAAAAATATTAAGGTTAGTAATAACACTAGGATAACATCTTCTGGATGCCTACTGTCATTCAAGAATTGCCTTAAGTCCTACATGCACAATAACTCACTCAACCCTACTATCCAACCCTATTGCAATGTAGCCTTACTGTCCTCTGTGTTACAAGTGAGGAAACTGAAGTCCAGAGGTCAGAGTCATTGGCAGGGCCTTTCAAAAGCCTCTGTTCTTTCTACTGGCCACATTGTTATATAAGGAAGATTAAAACCATTTTTTTAAAAAATCATAATATTAAACCAAACTGGAGAGTAACCATCTTCATCATTAAAATAAAAAATTAAAGCTGCAACTCGTTCAGGGTTCCATGGAGCTGGGTCACATCAACAGTTTACCTAGTAGTTCTCCTTGAGCCAAAAATGGGGAAGTGGTAACATCGTGTGTTAAGCTGTGTTTCCCCATGTGATTCCCAGTGGTCTCCTAGCAGCCACTGTCAGAGCTCCTAGGTGGCCTCTGGTCTTGGGTCCTTGCAACCTGGGCTTGTTTCTTGGCCTTCTGTCTTTCAGAAGTTCCCTGCTGGGAAAAGTGTTAAGGATTGATGTGAATGGGGCAGGCTCAGCTGGCAAGCGGTACCGCGTCCCCTTGGACAATCCCTTTGTTTCTGAGTCAGGGGCCCACCCTGCCGTCTATGCCTATGGGATCAGAAACATGTGGCGTTGCTCCGTGGACCGAGGGGACTCCATCACACGCCAGGGCCGAGGCCGGATGTTCTGTGGGGACGTGGGCCAGAACAGGTTTGAAGAAGTTGACCTCATTGTTAAAGGCGGGAACTATGGCTGGAGGGCAAAGGAAGGGTTCCAGTGCTTTGACAAAAAACTCTGTCACAACGCTTCTTTGGGTAAGTAAGACGCTGTCCTGTGATTTCTTAATAAGTAGAATGGACTGGAGATGGAGGTAGAGCAGTAAGACCTGAGAGTGTCCTGCAGGTCATTTAAACAATGCCCTGTGGGACAGTGCTTTCTCTGAGTGGTCCTCCACTAGCGCCAGAGACACCTTGGTGATACTGAACAAAAAGCAGATTCCTGACATTAATCAGTTATTTTCCTGTTTTTTCATCTTTTTATCCCTGCTTTACAAGCAGAGTAACTTTGAAATGGCGGAGTCACTTTTTGCTTTTTTTCTGTTTTCTTCCAGCCCTTCTCTCTCTATAAAACCAACTCCTTTGCTTAGAACATTAACACTTATTCTTTGGAGTGCTGCCCATTCTAGAATGGAAAATAAAGCCAGTGTAGATTGTGTTTAAAGCTATGCCGTACACCAGATCAAACGGGTTGTGTCATGAGTGGGTTGGGGAAACAGCACTGATTAGGACACACATTTTGAAGAAGTGACCCTTGAGATTTTTCGGCATACTTTTTTCTTTTTTGAGATAGGGTCTTGCTATGCAGCTCAGGCTGGCCTGGAACTCACTTTGTGGCCTAGGTTGGCTTTGAACTTGCCTTAGCCTCTCAAATGGTGGGATTACAGGCATTGTACCACCACAACTGGCTAGGCATACTATTTTGAGAACCACTGACAGAGCAAAATTGGTAGCGGCATTTTATTTATTTCCTGACTGGGGCAGCCCACTAGAATGATATTCTGCATATACTCAAGTATGAGTACAATCCCTGGACATCAATAATTCAGGTGTGGTTGTTGCTGTTAAGTTACAAAGAAGTCTTATTGACCCTCACAATATTTCCCACACCCTAAAACCTGAGTATCTGTTATGTCAACCTTGAGGAGAAACTTACGTGTATATGAATCTGGGTCACTGCCTTATATGTGTGTCGGGGGGTGGAATTTTTGGCTTAGATAACAGTCATATGAGAAGCTCACAAATTTTGTGGCTGGCTTGTTGAGAAAGATCAATGTGATCCACTTATCTACCTGTCCTACTAGTGCTAAAGTGTTCTTCGTGGAATCAAGCAGTCAATAAGACTCCCACTTTTGGGCCATCACGTCATTCTCTTTCCTTGTTCCTGGACAGATGACGTTCTGCCCATCTATGCTTATGGCCGTGCAGTGGGGAAGTCAGTCACTGGAGGGTACGTTTACCGTGGGTGTGAGTCCCCAAATCTCAATGGCCTCTACATCTTCGGGGACTTCATGAGTGGGTAAGGAGTTGCTGATGTCCCTTTTACCTTTTTAATTTTAACATACAGTGAAATAGAATTACACACACTATACACACATGCATACACATCCACGTATGCACACACGCGCAGGCACTGCACATATACATACACAATCACATGTACACACACATATACACACATACACACATGCCCCATACACACATGTGCACACCTATACACATACACACACAATACACATACCTGTGCACAAAGCACACACAACACATGTGCACACACATCCATACCCATACATACACATACACATGCATAAATACACTATATACACTTTCACATAATACACAACCTGTGCACACATGCACACACATACATATGCTATACACACTTTCACACAATACATGCACACACATACACATGCACACATGTACACATACGTACATGCATGCACACATACGCACACCAGCCAAAGAATCATCACAGATTAGTGTTTCTTCTGAAAAGTCATAAACAAGTGGAGTCATATGGTCTATACTCTTTTGTGTACCTTGCTCCTTTTATTCAACCAATGTCTGTCAGATTCATCAATGCTGCTTCATGTGTCTTTTTTATTACTTTGTAATATTCAGTTACTAAACTCTACCACAGTTAATTCTTCTATACTTTGGTTTATGACAGTTTGGCCATTTTAGGTTCCAGGGGGATATTATGAATACAAGTGTTGTGATGCATTGGAGTTTTCACTGTAGAGGACTTGCACAACTAAGTGTTTCGCAATGGCTTTGATGCACAGTATACAGGTCACTGTTAACTTCAGCTTATGGTTGGTAATGACAGCACACAGTGCTGGGAGTGTGGCTCAGTGGAAGAGTACTTGTCTAGCATGCATGAGACCCTGGGTTCCACCCCAGCACACACCCCAAGTAGTCCACAGAATTTTTTGCATATTGAGTTTGTATCTGGCAACCTTGCTGAGCTCTTTACTGGTTCTGGTAGTTTTTTTTTTTTTAAAGTAGATTCTGTTGGATTTTCTATTAAAAAGGCCACTATACCTGTGAATATAGACAATTTTTATTTTCTCAAATTGAAAGCCTTTTATTGTTTTTAATTGGCTTATTGCTTCAGCTTCAGCATTCAGTACAATGCTGAGTCCAAGTGGGAGGAGAACTTTCAACTTTTTTACCACTAAATATTTGACACTAGCTATAGGTGTTTTACATTCCCTTTATTGGTTGAGGAAGTGTCCTTCTGTGCCTGATTTGCTGAGAGTATGGATGTGGAATTTTTGCCAAATGCTTATTTCCATCTATCGAGAGAATCATACATTTAAAAATGTTTTATTTTGTTAGTATGTTCAATTTCATTGCTTGATTTTGTTATTGTCAATGCAACCTTACATTGCATGGATAAACACCACTTGGTTATGATGTAATGTCCTTTTTATAATTGTAGAATTTGATTAGCTAGGATGTTTGGAATTTTTTTCTATGTTCATGTAGGGATAGTGAGCTGTAGTTTTCTTTTCTTGGAATATGTCACAGTTTAGCATTTGGATAATCCAGGCTTTATAGAATGAGCTGGAGATTATTCCTTCATTTTTAACTATCTGGAAGAGGTTGTATAAAGTGGGTTTTACCCCTGCCTTATGTGTTTCTCCTTTCCAAGTGAAACCATCTGGCTCTGAAGTGGACAGGTTTGTGGACAGACTTTTAACTGAAAATCCGATTTCTTTGATTGATATAGGCTACTCAGCTTACCTACTTCTTTCTGAGTGAGCCTTGGGAGTCTAAGCCTTTTGAGGACTTTGCTAATTCACCCAAGTTGCCAAAATTATTGGCATCAATATTTCAAAATATTACTTTATTATCTTTTCAATAGCTACGGAAACTATAGTGATATTACTTATTTATCCATCTTATTCCAGATATTAATATTTCTCTGTCTCTTTCTCTCACACACAGTCTGGTTAGAGGTTTATTAATTTTATTAATAAACCAGTATTGAATTCACTGAATTTTTCTTATTATTTTTCAATTTCCAATTCATTGATTTATACTTTTTTCCTTCCTTTCCTTGCTTTGGGTTTAATTTGCTTTTCTATTTCTAGTTTCTCACAATGAAAACTGAGGTTATTGTTCTGCGATCTTTCATCTTTTTTAATGTATGCTTTGTGCTGCAAACTTCACCCTAAGTATCGCTTTAGTAGCATCCTGTGAACTTTGATATGTGTTTGCATGTCAGAATACTTCTTTCTTCTGCAATGTCTAACTGGTCATTTTCCCCTGCAACATACACTTTTTCAAATCTCAGATGTTGCATTTTTCAACATTAGAAACTTGAGTGAGGTCTTTAAAATATCTCTTCATGTCTCTGCTTAACTTCATGAACATATGACATGTAGTAATAACACTATTTTAGTGTTTTGCTTATTAAAATAATACTTGCATCAGTTCTGGGTCAGCTTGATTGATTGATCTTATTCTTTCCTATCGGTTGTATTTTCCTCCTCTTTTACTTTCCTAGTAATTTTTGGTTAGATGCCACAAAATTTTAAGGTAACTTTGTTGAATATTTTTGTATTCCCACAAATAGTTTTGAGTTTTGTTCTAGGACATCATCAAGTTATTTGGAAACAGTTTGATCCTTTCAAGATCTTGCTGTTAGTAGGACTCAAGTGGTGCTTTTTCTAGAGGTTTTTTTTTTTTTTCCATTATGGAGGCAATACTTCACAAGAACTCTGTCAAAGCCCTTTGACCAGTCACCATTGTCTGACCCTGAGTAAGTGCCGTACTTTTCCTTCTCCTTCTTTTCCTTGCTTTTGCCAGTTTCCTTACCTGTGTCTTCTGATGAATACTTGAGGGGACCTTTTGCAGATTTCTGGAGTTCATTCTCTTTGTAGTTTTCTTCTCTCCAACGTCTGTCCTGTAGACTCTTCCTGCACTGATCTTCCTAGACTCAGCTTGGTCTTTTCAACTCAGGGCCTGTGCTGGGCTGTGCTGAGGATAAGATGAACAACTGTAGGTTTCATCTTGTTTGTTTCCCATCTCTCAAGGAACACACTGCTACACCACTGCATCTTCAATGTCTTTGAAAACACTGTTCTATTTCGTGGGAGTTTGACTGATTAAGGTGGGAGGGTAAATCTAGCTGTCTCCATTTTCATGCTTCAATTCTTGGTTATGGAGATGGTGTAGAGTTACTAATTTGGTAGATCCTTTATTATTACTTATTAGATGCTTAGGAACTCATTCATTTTTATGTTTTTTTCTCCACACTCCCAATTCCCATGTGTATCACTTAGTTGATATGCAGTGATTCTTAATTCAGGTATATGTATCAATCACCTGGGTTTGAGCATCTTTGTTTCTCTAAAACTTTAAAAAATTAAAAAAATATTTTGGTGGTACTGGAGTTTGAACTCAGAGCCTGGCTCTTGCTAGGCAGGCCCTCTGCCATTGACCCACAGCCCCAATTCTTTTTGCTTTAGTTATTTTTCAAGAAGTTCTCTCCTTTTGCCCTGGCTGACCTAGACCGCGGTCTTCCTATTCATGCCCTCCCAACTAGCTGGGATGACAGGTACACGGCATCATGCCTAGCTTATTGGTTGAGATGGGGTCTCGCTAACTTTTTCCCAGGCTGTTCTTGAACCATGATTCTCCCCATGTCTACCTCCTGGTACTAATGGGAGGGAGAAGGGTATGTGTAGAGGGTGAAGGAGGGCAAATATGGCTGATTTGCTTTGTATATGAATAGAACAATGAAGTAGACTAGAATAGAATAATGAAATCTGTTGAAATTGTTCTAAGATGGGGATGGGGGTTGAGGGAGAATGAGGGAGGGGGTGAATCTAATTAAGATACATTGCAAGCACATAAGTAAATGTCACAGTGAAGCCCCATTGTACAATTACTGTATGTTAATAAATAAGTTTAAAAAAAAAGAAAATGAGCTTGTCTATCCAGGTCATGTGGGTATTTAAAGTATCCATGAAGTAGCTCTTCTGGATCTTGGCGTAGGCCAGTGAGTGAGATCCAGTCCTGGAACACATGGGTCCCTGATTTAGGTGGAAATATCCTGCAGAGTGGAAATACGGATGCCTAAAACATAAGGTTTTATTTTTCATCTAGTCGACTTATGGCTTTGCAGGAAGATAGGAAAACCAAGAAATGGAAGAAGCAGGACATCTGTGTGAGCAACACCTCGACCTGTGCCTTTCCAGGGCTGATCAGCACCTACAGCAAGTTCATCATCTCCTTTGCTGAAGATGAAGCAGGTAACACATGTGTAGGATTTGATTTCTGCTGATTTGAACTTTGCTAACCACTGACATCGGCTGAACATCTATCACCGCCCTCATTTAAACAGTAACTGCTACTTCTGCTATTTCACTATCATCGAGTGTCTTTATAACGTACTGGGTACTTTTCTAAGGACTACATGTTCCACAGTAATTAGCACAGCACACCCGCCTTGTAATCATTACACTAGCGAGGAAGCAGAGTGCACTGCCAACCTCGTCTTGGTTGAACGGCACATCAAGGTTCAGGATTTGAACTTTGACTATGAAGAGGTTCATGTGCTCTCTTCTCCCTGATTTTATTCTAAATCACAGATACAGGAACGTGGACCGGACCAACAGTGGGCCAGAGTGAATGGACAGTGAGTGCTTACCCTCTTAGGGTGGCCTAGGAGAAGGTACCTCTTGCAATCAGCTCACTTTTTGGGCTGGCTCTTTCTTGACTCTGCCCAGAAGTTTGTGAGCAAGGGAAAAATTCTTTCTTGAGAAATCTGAAAAGAAAAAAAGCAGGCACTTAGATAGGAGGTTACTCAATAGAATGACTAGGTACCTTCTTTTTTTAGGTACTGAGTTTGAACAGAGGGCTTCACACTTGCTTGGCAGGCCCTCTATCACTTGAGCCATGCTACCTGCCCTTTTGCTTTAGTTATTTTTTGAATAGGGTCTTGTGTTTTTTCTACCTGTGCTGACCTAGACCATGATCCTCCTGTTTGCCCCTCCTGAGTAGCTGGGATTACAGGCTTGGCCACTGCGCTTGGTCGAGTCACATGCTAAGGGGATCATTGAAGCCAGCTATGTGCTCATGTTTGAGAGAGGAAAGAGGGAGGGGAGATACTCAGCTCTAATAAATGTCTAAGAATTTATAATCAGAGGACTCATTTTTAATTTCAGCTTCACTTAGGTTATGCTTATTTTTGAAGATTAAATTTTCAAATTTAAATTCTGTTTTGTTTTTACATAGGTGTGTACAGCGATCCTTTTAGAGGCAGTATTTGGCACTGCCTCAAGATATGCTTGGAGGCAAAAAAGATAACAAAATGGTCTCTAGAGTCCTTTCTAGACTTCAGATCCTCTGTAGGTGCAAAGCTGAGCCTGGAAGAATTCCTAAGTGCTTGGTTTCTTTCCATTCTAAGCCCCGGGGGTGGCTGTGCCAGGAACTTCGGGTTGAACAGGACATAAAGAGACCCAGTCAGCTCCTGGATCTTTCCTCTCAGTCAGATGAATAGATAGTTTGAAATGAACATTTTAGGGTATTTTGGAAAATTCAAGCACTGTTAATAGAAAAAAGTGTATGTGAGTTCCAAATTGGAAGTTCAAACATATTTTAAAAAACAACAGAGAAACCTCAAGTTTCTCTGGCAGGACTGGGCTTAGTGGACAGTGGGTGAATCTTGTGAGAACTACAGACCAAGGTGAGGCCTCTCCTCCACTGGATCACTCCCTGCCCCACCCCCAGGCTGCTTAGGGACACAGGGCTGCTGCTGTCTTCAGTGGCTCGCTTCTTTCCCAGATCAGTGGCTCGCTTCTTTCCCAAAGGCCACAGAACCCTGGCTTTGGTGACTTGGTTTGTTGCGCCTGCAGGCATCTCACAGGAGAAAACAAGCAATTTTTGGAAACCAGCCAGTATATCTGGCAAACAAAATGAGGTGTCCTTGGTTGAATTCTGAGAAGTGGCCTTGCTTAGGCCATCTCAAGCCAGACTTTGCCCCAGGGCAGCCCTGAAGCCAGGGAAGTTGCTCCCCTGGCAAGTTATTTTCTGCCAGTTGCTTGCGTTTATGTGGTTGCCACATGGATTTGTTTGTTCTGCACTTGGCGTATTCTTTCCCGCTTGGAGACATGTTTAGATCTGAGTATTGTTTCATTATTTTTCTATCAGTCACTTTTTGTTGAACCAGAATTGCTGCCTCAACTATTGATACAGATTACTTACTGAGCTCTTGGTCTTGACAGTTGTAAATAAAGAACTGCTGAGTGACTGATTAGTGAGGAGCCACCCACTTTTGAATTTTGATGGGTTAGCTTTTTTTTTCTTTTTTGGCAGTACTGGGGTTTTGAACTCAGGGCCTCAGGCTTGCTAAGCAGGTATTCTACCACTTAAGCTACACACCTCCAGCACTTTTTTGCTTTAGTTTTTCTCAGACAGGATCTCATGCTTTTTGCCCAGTGTCAGTCTCAGACCTCAGTGTTTCAACCTGTGCCTCCCTGGAAGCTGGGATTATAAGTGTGAGCCACCATGCTCAGCGATGGACTGTATTTCTGAATGTCAGTCACAGAATCCCATTCCCAAGAGGGCAAAAGTAATGATGCTTATAGTAAGTTTGTATTGTATGCATTTTGTCTTATATGGCACATTGCAGGGTTTTTTCTCCCTAAAATAGACATGAAAGATATCAGCTGGGTACTATAGATAAATTCACTTCTAGCCTTATTTCCCCCTAAATATGCAATAGGAAGTCTATGCCATATTGAAGACATAATTTACACAGGCTGCCATCATATAATGTGACTATGCAGTGTGATGAGATATTCAATTCTCTGTTGAGAGCAGGAAGGACTTCGCATGGTTTGGAGGGGCCTCTGCTGGAGACTACCCATGCACACGTGGACCTGTGGTAGATACCTCTCATATCTCATGGTAGAGTCACTTTGGGTGGTATCTGGAGTTTCCAATGCAGTAGAGAAAGCTGACTTCAGAGTAGGGTGTGTCATAACTCTTTGGACCTGTTTCCAGGGGACAATTATCAATACAGCTCATCAGTACATAAAACCATCACTTTTTCAGCACCTGTCACCCCATATAGTGGTCTTGGCAAAACCTATGAGCCTCATACCTGTCACTGCTCTTCACAAATCTGAGGAAGAAAGCTGTTGGTTAAATAATCCAGAGCTGGGGGCTGGATGTGGTGGCTCATATCTGTAATCCCAGCTACTCAGGACATGGAGACTGGTAGCCAGCTCAGGCAAAACGTAGTGAGACCCTATCTCAAAAATAAGCCAGGTGAGGTGGCACAGCCACTCAGGAGGCAGAGGTAGGAGGACTGCAATCCGAGGTCCAAACATACAAAACCTTATCTGAAAAACAAACCAGAACCAAAAGGACTAGGGGCCTGGCTCAAGTGGTAAAGTACTTGGCCAGAAGCCCTGAGTTCAATCCCTGGTACAGAAAAAAAAAATCCAGACCTATGTAAAGTTCTAGGGTTTCCACTTTGCAACTTTCATGTCATTTTCTTCCATAAAATTGACAAAGAGTTGTGTAAGGTGCACAAGATGATGTGAATTTAATTCGGTGCAATGGCACCAACGTTGTGCCAGGTTCACAAAGCTGTTGAAGATATAGCACCAACCTTTAAGGAGCAGAGACAAGAAAGTAAAAATGTTACTTATTGAACACTTTCGAACTGAACACCTAACGATCTTTCCAGGCCTTATGATCATCACTTACAGATGAATGACTGGAGGGCTGTGCAGGTTGAGTTGTCACCCAAAATGACACTACTGGTACCTGGCATTGTGAGAATTCACACCCAAAGCAACTTAACTCTGAAGCTGGGGCTCTTTACCCTGTATCGTACTGTCACCCACAAACCATACAGAGCCAGGTGGAATGAGGTAGATACTATAGGAAAGGGTTGAAGATGTTTCCTGGAATTCAAACAGGAAGGAATGGGAAGAAGCCGAGTTCTTTCTAAAAGTCATAATGGAGGGTGAGCTTGGAGGTAATTTTGGGGATGTGTAGAGAAGACCAAGAGGAGAGACAGAAGAATGGGGAGGGTTACAAGGAAATAAGCAGCCCAAGGACTGAATGAAGTAGGAAGATGAGGGAGTGAGGCTGAGGAAAAATGAAAGGACTAAAGAAGGGTCAGAATACAGTGCCTGACAAATGGTCCTCAGTCTGTGGACTGCCCATTTCCAGGGCTTCACGCAGAATGCCCATCACTACAAAAGAGCTTGGGGAGGAGCTGGAACTCCATTGATGTAAAGTTTCTAAGAGCAGAGAGATGGTAAGGAGGAGGACCGATTTCTCAGTCAACATAAGCATAACATTGCCTTTGCTGGGCCACACTCTGAACTAGTCTTTGGGAGTTCATGTGTGGGCCTTTTCCCTTAGGGAACTCACAGTCCAGTGAAGGCCAGCCTGTCAATCACATGACCAGAGCTCCATTCATGGGGCTCACTCACTGCATTTTAGGGCCATAACCTTGTTTGGCTTATTTCCTGTGCCTCCATTTTTGTCTGGGCCCTGCTGATACTCTGTTATTTTGCTGGTTTTGTTTCCTTAGGAGAGCTGTATTTCTTGGCCACTGCCTACCCAAGTGCTTATGCTCCACATGGTTCCATTTACAAATTCGTTGACCCCTCAAGGTGAGAGTTGTGTAATTTTCTTCTCAGGGACATTTTTATCAATCCTTCTCTCCATTGGCAGGTCATAAAATAGTGATTACTCCCCAAGAATTGCCAAAAATTATCAGTGAAACATATCTAAGGGGCCAGTGAAAAGTAAATTGGGCAAACAGATGTATAGAACCGCATGTCTATATAAATTTATTTTGGAATTTGCAGGTGGAAATGAGAATCTCAAGCCATTCTATGATGACTAGTTTAGCCCTGGGACTTCTATTTTTTTTTTTTTAATTTCCTTTCTTGCTGGGAGCCCGTGGCTCATGCCTGTAATCCAAGCTACTTGGCAGGCTGAGATTGGGAGGTTCAAGACCAACCCCAGCAAATAGTTTGTGAGACACCATTTCCAAAATAACCAGAGCAAAATGAACTGGAAGTGTGGCTCAATCAGCAGAGCACCTTCTTTGCAAGTGCAAAACACTGAGTTCACACCCCATTTCCACCCAGCACTGCCCCCACCCCCAATTCTTCTCTTGATTCTCCTGTTTCAGCCTCCTTAGTAGTACTGGGACAACCTTGTGGCACCATGCCTGGCAGGTCAGGCACATTGCTCTCAGCTTTGCCATCTTCCTGTGAGCTGGGTACTATTATTTTTTTGCATTTAATTAAATCATTTTACTTTTTGTGCTTGGGATTGAATGCAGGACTTCCTGCACAAGGAACGTTGTAACTCTACCACTGAGTTACAACCTCCTATCCCAGTCCCTGGGGCCAATACTTTATTCCATAAAATAGAATAAGTGTACCCATTGTTTTGCACTTTATAGACGAAGACATCAAGGCTTACTAAGATTTCCTGGGCCTGGGTCACCAGGACTTGAATCTGAATCTATCCATCACCAGGCCCATGCTCCTAACCCTTACTGTACTGTCTCCCCAGGGCCTGCAGTGCCCTGTGGCGTCCATGCCGTTTCATCTTGCCCTCTGAGCTCATAGCAGATTCCTACTACATCAACCCCATCCTCGTGGGTGAAAGAGGGCTGACCACAGTTCTTGCAAATGTATGCTTTCTGGTGATCTTGTTTTTCAGAGTCTTGTATCCTCACTCTTCTGTGCATTTTTTAGGCGAGCACCTCCAGGCAAGTGCAAATACAAGCCGGTGCCAGTGAAAACCAAGAGTAAGAAGATTCAGTTCAGGCCACTTGCCAGTGAGTCTTGAGTTCATCTTGAGTCTTAGTCGCAGGCCTTGGGGTGAAGGCACAGCCAGTGTCCTCAACAGGACCTTCTGGGATAGAGGGTCTTAGTTTCTCTCTTAAGGGTTACCTTTTGGATGAGGATTGTTCCTTGTAGCTCAGTGTATACATCTCCTCCGTATACCAGAGGGAGTGGCAGTGACACCCATTTCTACTGTGACCTATTGTCAAGTCATTCATTCATTCACTTATTCATTTATTTAATTGTTCATGTATCCATTCATTTGGCATCAAATATTTAGTACTTAATTTATGGCAGGCACTGTGCTAAACCCTGCAGATACAGCAGTGAACATTTAAAATCTCTGACCTGTAGAAGTCAAATGGGTTGGGGTATGGCAAATATAGAAATATAGTCCTGAGGTTCTGTTCGAGAATGATAACCAGGGCACTGTGAGGACACTGTGAGGGACCCTGGAGTGAGGAATTCTTCCTCGGGTAGGGTGGGGTGTCAGCAAAGACTTACAGATCGGTGAGACTCTCTTAAGGGAAATGTTTCAGAGACATGTATTTCTGGAGTGACCCTATCATAAAAGGAAGAGAAGGGAATTACAAAGACCACTAATACAAAGAATTTATATTAAAGGACTGTCATGCAAGCTGGGCACAGTGGTGTGTGCCTGTAGTATCAGCTAATTGAGAGGTTGAGGATAGCTTGAGCCCAGAAGTTTGAGGCCAGCCTGGGCAAGACAGCAACACAGCAAGACCTCATCTCTTAAAAAAAGTTCTAAGGTTTCCTGGGCAGTACTTCTTTTATGGTTGCTTTCCAGGACTTAGGTTTCTTACTAAGTAAGTGCTTATCTCTCAGAGACAGTCTTGGGCTTGCTGAAGGAGCAGTCAGAGAAAGCTGCCAGAAAACCATCCAGTGCAACCTTAGCTTCCAGCCCAGTCCGGACTTCATCTCAGAAAGGCTCCTCCAAGAAGCCAGCTTCTCCCTCAAGCAGCAAGAAAACATTGCAAGCACCTGGTACCCAGAAGAAAGCCAGAGTGTGGTCCCCAGGTCCACAGGGCAAGAGGAAACAGAATGTGAAAACCCACAGTGGGGGGATGAGGCAGTCAGCACAGCAGAGGCTAGCTAACAGAAGTCACCCTTGACTCTTGGTCAAGGTGGTTGACAGTGACCTGAGAGAGGAGAACTGCCCTGTCAAATGAAAATCACCTTGAAGGTGGGTCTCAGAAATCGAGGAAGGCTGGGTAGAGAGGTGAGAGCAGGCAGAGCTTGCCTCAGGGCCCCAGGTGGTTTTCCTCTCCCTGGGACATTTTGCAATTTACTGAATGAACAAACACCTGTGTGCAGTGCTTCCTCCATGCCGTGGCACCTGACTTATCACATGCAGTAGCTTGTAATCCTGCTTGGAATCCACTGGATGCTCCCATTTTGTCTTGTGAATGCCCACATCCTGCAGTAATAAATACACATTTGCCCAAATGATGCATATTCTTTGTTCTGGGTGTTTCTATGGTATTAGGAAATCTAATATGCCTTCATTCTTAGGTTGCCTAAGAATCTTATTTCACTCTCCTGCCTCATCCTGGGTTTGGAAGGAGACCTGCAAGTGACAGGCTTCTAAGGAAAACTGCTCAAAAATGGTCACCTCTTTAACCCCAGTCCAAAGCTCAGAAATTGAATAAAAGCAGGCTCAGTTCTGAACATTCAGCTCATCTTTTTGCCCTTACCAAAAGGCATAATAAACACAACCACATTCTAGGTGACCCTTCTATGTGTTCTCTAGGATAGAAAGACACTTCAGGGCCCAACCAACTCTGATATTTCACACGTTTATAGCTTCTCAGATGAAAATATCATCATAAAGGTGCAGGGGCATAGACACTGGGTCATTCATTTCGTTGAAAGATGGCGGCATACTTGAGTCAGCTCAGGGAGTTGGGTGTAACCTCTATACCAAATCGCTGAGCTCACTCTGCCTCACTTTGCCCATGGAGTCTGACACATTAACTGAATCTACCAAATCCAAGGCATTCTGAACATTTTTGTTTGTTTTGTTTTTTTGTGGAACTGGGGTTTTGAGCTTGCAAAGTAGGCACACTGAGCCACACCTCCAGTCCATTTTGCTCTGGTTATTTTGGAGATGGGAATCTTGCAAACTCTTTGCCTGGGCTGGCCTCAACCTTGATTTCCTCAATCCCAGTCTCCCAAGTAGCTAGGATTACAGGTGTGAGCCACTGGAGCCCTGCAGAGCATGGGTTTTGAATAGGGGGATTGTGAGTGCATGCAGAGAAGGGAACTTGACTGGATGCCTGTGAAATGTTGGGAAGCTGGGGAGAGGCAGAGTCTTCTCTCTGGCCAAGAGGCTTCATGTTCTAGAAGATGGCTAATGATGCCAGTGAGCCTTCATGGAAGGGAAACTCTAGGGCATACATAGCAAAGCCAAAATATGAAATCCAGGTTCCACCTAGCCTAGGGTGGTGAAAAGTTCAGAAGTAAAAAAAAAAAAGTACAGGTATGCAGGTGAGACCAGCTGGTGTTGTGGTAATGGGGAGGAATGACAAGGACTGGTAATGGCTGGTGGGAGATGAGATTAGAAGGTCTCTTTCTTACTAATTCTGTTTCCTTAATGGACAAACAACTCAAAGGTAGGTAGTCCTAGTAGTAAGGTATTCAAGGATCTGAAAGGGCTTTGCAAAGAGTCATTCAGGGTTGGGTATGGTGGTACATGTCTATAATCCCAGATAGTTGGGAGATGGAGATTTGGAGGACTACGGTTTGAGGCTGGTCCAGGCAAAAAGTTAAAGAGACCCCTGTCTCAACAAATAAGCCAGGCATGGTGGCACATGGCATTATCCCAATTACACTGGAGGTGTGGGTAGGAGGATTGCAGTCTGAGGCCAGCCCCATGCAAAAAGTGTGAGAAAAGTAACTAAAGTGGGAAAGGACTGGGTGCATTGCTTAAGTGGTAGAGTGCCTGCCTAGCAAACATGAGGTCCTGAGTTCAAAACACCATTAATGCCAAAAAAAAAAAGAAGAAAAGGGCATTCAGTGTTAGTAGAGTGCTGGCCTTCCCATTGCTGTATTTATGGGTATTTTTCAGTTTGTCCTGCATCCTTAAGGGATTCTGAACACAACAACTCCACAGCACTCCTAGCAGCAGATGGCCTGACCACCCAAGGGCAAAATGAGTGTGCTTCTCCAGAGCTAAAATCTTGCAATTCAAGATGGGAAGTCTTATAGTTGCATCACGTTCAAAGCTCACTTCGCTGAAGAAGAAATACATGTACTCGTTGTGGAGTTGAAGATTATGTTAGCGGGGAGATTTCATTTTGTTCTGTATTTTTGACAGGGTCTCACTACATAGTCCAGACTGGCCTCTAATTTGAGAACCTCCTGCTTCTGCCTTCCGAGTTCTGGGATTAAAGACCTGTGTCACCACCCCAGGCTAGTGGGGAGAGATTTGATTTCATCTCAGTGAATGCACTGTATCACTTGCCAGGCACAGGGCTGCCTTTGGGAGTCCTAGAGGTGAGAGACTCTCTGCCTATCACAGTTGACAGTGTGAGCCCAGGTTAAGGATTAGGATTAACTTGACGACAAGGTCACAGGACTCTGACTGCTAAAACAACATCCAACAGAAAGATAATGAGAGCTCAAATAACAGTCACAAATGAATTCTGGGAATTTCTAGTAGCCACATTAGAAACAATAGGTAAAATTAATTGTAATTATATATTACTTTTAATCCGATATGCTCAAAAATATTATAGCTTCAACACATATCAGTTAAAAATTACCAATAGCATAGTGTACATTCTTTTTCTTTCTCTGGTTCTAAGTTTTCTGTATCTGGTGTGTACTTTTACCGTTTTGGCCTATGTCAGTTCTGATCAGCCACACTTAAGTACTCAGTCTATGGCCACATGTGACACCTAGCTGTGGCCCTGAGATCTGGGGGAAGAAATCCTGAGTCGGTGAGAAAGGATTTTTGGTTTTCTTCTCCTCCGGTATTCTGGAATCCAGAGAAGGAACAGAGAAAGGAGTCTCACCCGCCCTCCCGTACCCCGCCCCTCCGAAGGGCAGGACCTGGGACCCGGGCTAGACTCGCAGGCCCGGCTGCCACGTGTCAGCCACAGCGCGGGCCCGCGTCCAGGTCCCTCTGGCCACGCTCCCGCCTGGGTAGGGCGTGGGACTCACACCACAACGCCCGCTGCACAGAGGCGACCGAGAGCGGTGCCACAGCGCCTCCCTCCTGCCGCCAGGCGTCACTGCAGGAGAGCGCTGCCTGGCTCGCTCCGCCCCTCCAGGGCCAAGTTCACCTCTAGTACTGCGCAGTGGATGGTGCTGAGGCCAGGTGCCTCAGTCCTCTATTTCTGGGACACTGGGTGATGTTGGAGCTGCAACCAAACTCCCTCTACTCCCCCTTCTTTCCTGCTTTTTGTTGCATTCCGGAATTTTCTCTTCAGGGTCACTTCTGAAACATATTAAGGGTACGTATCAGCATTTCAGTAGGAATAGCTGTTAATCCTGCCATGAGTTAACTGTTTCAGGAATCACTTTTGCCATTTCAGCTTTTCTGTATTTTATTTAATTAGTATGGTTTTATTTATTTATTTATTTATTTTTAGCAGTATGGTATTTAAGAAGCAGAAATCAACAAGAGGCCCCAAGGAGGATTGCAGAGAAACCCCTGGTTTTGCTGAGCTGTGGAGTCCACTCACCACCAGGCATGGTAGATTCCATCACAAACAACAGTGCTGTAGTTGGCTACCTGAAGGATTGACCCCATTATCAATGGTAAAGACTAGGAAACGCCAAAGAAAAATACTTACAGAGGGAATCTCAAATCCTGTGATTACAATGCACTAAATCATATGTACATTACAGAGAGGGGCTGGAAGTGAAATGCAAAAAACGAAGTCCTGTTCTGGTCATCTTATGAATGGTATGTTTACATATTAAAAAAAAAAAAACCCTCCAGTCTTGTTTCTGTGATAAATTGTAGCAAGTTTGTTACTTATGGGGAAGTTATGGAGGTGCCTTAGTTCTGATGAAAGAAGTTACTGATTATGAATGAATGGATTCAAATTTATTGAGTGCTCATAATGCTAGCTGAGCTGGAGTGAATACATAAAGTTCTGTCTCCTTTATTAGCGACTGGGATCAGAAACTATCCACATTTCTTTTTGCTTATGGAACCGTTTATTGAAAGAATAAATTTGTGGCCCCAACACCAGGCATTACTGAATGAGAAGAGAATCAAAGTCATGTGTGTGGCGTCTCTCTCTGGTCCCCATCATCTGCTCACATTCATTCTCAATAACACCATTCCTGGCCCTGTTTAGAGTGGCCCCATGCTTATTATCCTGTTTGTTTTTTTTTTTATAATAAGGTGTACTACTTAATCTTCTTTCACAGTAGGTAACATGCTTATCATGTCTATTATTCTGCACCTAGCTTTCCCTGGCAGCAAAATGTCTGCTCTTGGAGGAGAGTGTTTTTTTTTTTTTTCATCTGTTTCATTTTCTGCTATATTCCCAGCATTTAGAATACTGTCTGGTACACAGTAAGTGCTCAAGAAATGTTGAACGAATGATGTTAGTTATGTGAGTCAGGAGAAATCAGGAAAGTGGTTTTGGAAGTGTCTTCTCATTGTTCTTCCTTATTTCCACTTCCTCTGCCCTCCACCCAGTTTCCTTAGCCTGTCTGGATTTCTCTTTGTTCTACCGCCCCTACCCATTGATCTGAGATTTACTATCTCCTATGACTTTCCTCCCTGCTCTGTACCAAGGGCTTTCAGGCCCATCTAATTACATGCAGGAGACAGGATCTCACTGTGCAACCCCGACTGGCTTCACACTTACTGTCTTCCTGCCTCAGCGTTGTGAGTGCTGGGATTACAGATGTGTTCCACCATGCCCAGCTTCCTCACCTCTCTCCTCTTTTTCTTTTTGGCAGCACTGAAGATTAAACCCAGGGCCTCCTACAGGTTAGCAAGTGCGCTACGACTGAGCTACATCCCAGCTGGGCTTTTGAACTCAGGACCTTATGTTTACTAGGCAAGTGCTCGACCACTTGAGCAATGCACCCAGCCCTTTTTGCTTTTAGTTATTTTTTGGATAGGGTCTAATGTTCTTGCTGGGGCTGGCCAGGACCTCAATCCTTCTTACACCTCTTGAATAGCTGGGATTATAGATGTATAACAACATGCCTGCCTTGTTGGTTGAGATGGGATTTCATTAACTTTTTTTGCCTCTGTTGGCCTTGAACCTAGATCCTCTCAATCTCCACCTCTCAAGTAGCTGAGATTATAGGTGTGAGCCACCATACCTGGCTCCTCAATTTCATTTTTTGTATAGAAACTTTAATTCCTTTCAACTTAACCTGTGGATACTTCTATTTCTCACTTTGAAACATTTTAGGCTCATTTTAATGTTTCCTGTTGTCTTGGC